CAAGAATCGTTTTAGGGTACGCGATCCGCATATGCATACATATATATTTAAATCCTCCTTTAGTTTCCGAGATATTGAGTAAAAAGTGTCGTTAATTTGGTAGAAATTTTGATCACATTTTGTCGTATTTCATACAAAGTGGCTGCCAAATTGTGGACAAATGACGCTTACGATAAAATTTTACTAAAGAAAATCCTTCATAAAGTCAAAACTAATTAACAAAAAACATTAAAAATTAAATAATTTAAGAATTTTGTGAACCAGTAACATTTTCAGAGACTTTGGAGAAAATCCATCTTCGCGATTTTGAGAAATTACATTCCAAACTTCAATCGCGATTTCCCACAACCTGCCGAAATTAACATACGACAATTCTTTACCCAGGCGACGATACATGTATGATGAAAATTGAAAATTTTCAATTTCTGTGCTTTTTGTTGCGACAGGTCTGAAAGGTTTATAGTACGCAACGAAGACAGAACGTCATATTTGTATAGAAAATTATAAACCCAGCAAACATTTGGATTCACAAATATGTCATTTAATATAATTTTTTAAAACTGGTTTCGCATTATAACTTTATTAAAGACTATTTCATGCAAACAAAGAAAAGCAAGAAATCTTTAACATAGGAGCCCATGCAAAACCGTGTAAACGACTTATTTATTTATAAGGATAAATCATTAAAATAACAAATTCTAAAAGTTTTAATTTTTTATTAGTACTTTGATGTAAATTCATATTTAATAAAAATACGAACACATACATATATATAAATATGGCGGAAGCTTTGGGGAAACTTGCCTTTACGGTCTGTCGTTGTATGCACGGTGTACACCTGCCACACCCCATTTTAGAGGGGGCATAAACCGCCCTTGCAAGTCCCTAGGGAGCCCTGTTTTTGAAGGCCAATTTTGACATGCGTTTTCGCTTTTTTTTGAGTAGATAAAGGCACTCAGTTGAGCCTTTCCGTGTTGCCGGAGAGCAGTGGGTCCGCCAAACATAAGCGCCGCGCTTACGGATTATAACCGATGCTAAGTAGAATACTCCTTTCCGTGTTGCTGGAGAAGAGGGGCCTCTCTTCATTTTGTTAAATGTAATCCATGTGCTACGTGTCCATGTGATAAATAATAATTTTAGCTAACAAAACAAAAGTGAGATCCTTTGGTCACGTAAGCAAGTGATAAACCTAATCCGATCCGAAACTTGCAGATTGTTTATTGCGACAAATGGTGGTAGTATATTCGCCAAAAAAAAACCTTTGAATATGACTCCATAATGAGCCGTATGTGAGGACAATAAAAGTCCACTATGACTAATTTGCGGTTCTAAATGTTTGCTGGAAAGAAGTAGATCGGCATGGCGTGATGTTCGCTCACTTCAACGATTACGACGAAATGTAGTTTGAACAACGCGTCGGATAGGTGCATACCGAACTGACATGCGATCAAGTATGCATAAAAGTCTGATTGTGTATATTCTGCTTTTCTGAAATACATTTCAGTTTTTCTGAAATACATTTTAGTTTTTCTGAAATACATACATTTGGAGCTTCCTCAAACCCATTTCAATTAATTTCAATTTCGTAAATACATTTCT